ATCCCTACTTCATTGGGAAATTTGACTAGCTTGTCTAGTTTGTATCTTCATGAGAATCACCTTTCTGGCTCTATTCCTGCTTCATTGGGAAATTTGACTAGCTTATCTGGTTTGTATCTTAATCAGAATAACCTTTCTTGCTCCATTCCTGAAGAAATAGGTTACTTAAGGTCTCTTAGTCAATTAGTTTAGGCTAAAAATTCTCTAAGTGGTGCTATTCCTACTTCATTGGGGAATTTGACCAGCTTGACCTCTATGTATCTTCGCGAGAATCATATTTCTAGCTCCATTCCTGAAGAAATAGGCAACCTAAAGACTCTTAGTTATTTAGATTTGTCTACTAATTTTCTTAATGGTTCTATTCCTTCTTCTTTGGGGAATTTGAACAACTTGTATCTTTTGTCTCTTTATGCTAACAACCTTTCTGGTTCGATTCCAAGTGAGTTGGGGAATATAGGAAGACTTGTTACTATGTATTTAAATATTAATCAACTCATTGGTTCAATTCCGGATTCCTTTGGCAACTTGAGAAACTTGCAATGGATGTATCTCCACAACAATAATCTCACTGAGAAAATTCCTTCATCTTTTTGCAATTTGATGAAATTGGAAGTGGTGTATTTGGGAAGAAACAGGGGAGAAATTCCACAATGTCTAGTTAATATTAGTTGACTCAAGGTACTGAAAATAGCATATAATAATCTCAATAAAGAGATCCCTTCGTTTGTTTGCAATCTAACATCGCTAAAGATTTTAGATTTGGGTGGAAACAATTTGAAGGGAGAAATTCCATGATGTTATTTCTGTCGTGCCGTAATTTATCTATCTTTAGAAAAATCACTTTTTGAAATGTTCTAAGTAGAAAACAATTTGAGAAAAATACTTAGAAAAGAGTCGTCACTTAATTTTTTTTAAGAAATTAAGAAAACTTATAATTTTCAAAGATTTAAACAGAAAAAATCATTTGAAAATACCGAAGGGGGTTCGGGGTTCAATTTACACTTCGAGAAGGGTTTAAGCATTCGAAGTGCCCGCTAACATGCGGTTGACCTGTGACTTGACTAAAATATATTTGACTATTTTTAGAAAAAATAAAGATTTAGCATGAAAAATAATAACTTACAATATATTTGATTAACTTTTCGGAAATAATTAAATAAATGACACATTTTATATTATTTTACTTTCTTGAAAATGGGACCTTAATTGAACCATTTGAATTAAAGACAAGTAATTAAAATATTAACAAAACTAGATTAATTGGTTTTTATTTGAATCATTTTTTAAAATAATAATTTAAACCAAATTGGTTAATCTAAGCATGAAAATAATTTTTTATTAATTGAAGAATAAAAGCAAAGTTTTGACTAACTTTTTGAGAAAAAGTGACAAAGTAAAAGAAAGCCATTTTTTCAAAGTTTATTGAAGAAAAATATTTTAACTTAAAATAATTTTAGAATGAGCAAAAATGTGTGAAGAAGCGTTAAATAACACATTTTTCAAGAACAAACGATTTAACTTAATTGAGGATGTAAAATTTGACCAATATTTAATTAATAAAATAAATGACCTCAGCACAAAAAAAAGTATTCAAAGCAAACCAACACAAAGAAAATAACTCGTCTTTTGGGGAATCTAATTAAGTTAATTAAAAATTATAAAGTTAGAGTTAAACAACAAATAATAAATAATCACGATTAAATAATTAAAGAGTAAGGCAGAAGTTTAATTTGGGCCTCCTTTTGGGCCAATTTTGCTGAAATTTTTGCCTTCAAACCAATCCCGTTTTTGTATACAGCTGGTGTATATCAGTGTATATCAGCGTATGAATAAGCTTTTTTCATGTATCTCTTGCTTCCGAACACCTATATTTCACCTTAGCCCTGTATATGAGTGTATACCGATGTATATCAATGTATACAGGCTGCATATCAGTCCCCCTTTTCAGCCTTCCAGACCTGTAACGGATTTCCGATTTTCCAGCGATGACCGGAGCAGACTCGATACTCGAAAATGCAAGGAGATGATGAAAAGAGTCCAATTTGGACTCCGCAAAACATCACATGTAAAGAAAGTGAACGGAAAGAAAATTAGTATACTCTCTTGAATGCTTTCTAGAAATAAAGTTTACATGAAAACATTACTTTACGCATATGCTGGAATGAATGTGGTAATTAACAAAATGTTTCAACTTCCAATTGGCTTCCAAACAGAAAACAAGGACATGTTTCTTCAAAAATGTGAAAATCGTGAAGATGTTGACAAACCCACATACAAGAAACAAATTAAAATAAAAATTTGAGGCCTACCTCCCAACATGCTAAAATTTTAACCAAACTACATGAATAAATAAATTTATGATATTGTAAGGAACAATAGATAATTAGCTTTGGAAAGGAAAATGAGTTTAACATTTGGAAATACCAAACAGTGACACATGATTGAATAAATTGCATGAGTGCAATTCAATTTGGCTCACGTAACCAACTAATATACCATTGTTAATATCAAAGTTTGCTATTCTATAATTCATCTATTCCGAATGATATTAAATGAAGCATTCTAATCTCACATAACCAAATGAACTTGAAGCTACAACAACATAGTCATTTTAACAATGAATATAGTTTCACGTCAATGAACCAATGCTACTACGACATATTAGGAAAGACCACCAAATCAGGCCAAAAGGAAATGAAATGAACAAACCCCCTGGAGACAGTAACTAACAACATTGATGGAAAAATGCACTTTAGACAAGCTTTATTTAGCTAGGGAAATCAGTGGGGCATATAATCTTACGAGTTCAACTAGGCAAAGAAAAAAGATGGAAACATGCTGGATATATGCTTAACAATTAGCCACGCTTACGTGGACTGAATGAAATTAGTTTTTTGATAAAAAGAAAGGTATCTTAATACAAACGATAATAACTTAAGGCGAAAAATAACAACTCTACATTAATACGAACCCTTAAGTATGACTACGAATCATGTCTCAGAGAATTACACACTTGAATCATATGACTATTTGACTCGATTATATCCATTTTAATCAGAAAAGGGAACAGATCCATAATGAAACGAAAGGAGGGAAAAAGCTTCAGCTACTTGACCAAGTAAACTGCACATTCATAGTAATCAAACAGGGAAGAAACACACCATTTGAGCTTCCAAAGAGAAGAAAAAGAAATGCAATTAAACTACTATACAAAATATAACACGAATGATAAACTAAAACTAAACAAAGCTGAAAATTGCTAAAGAAAGAAGATTACCTTCTTCCGGGCAGCGAATGGAACAATGACGAGCAGAGACGACTGACTTCCACCACTACACGAGACTTTGCCGAAAAGCTTGGATGCAAGCTTCAAGAACGAAACTTTAAAAACTCGCACCTTAAAACTCTTTTACTATCTAAGTCGATTTATAAATCAATATTTCTCTTCTATCTCTCCCACTTCTTCCTTGCTTCTGTTTTCTCTAGTATCTATTTTTCCCTTTGTTTCTTGACAAATTTTCTTTTTTCCAACTCCCCCATAACATTGAAAGAGCAGGGGTATTTATAGGCTGAATTGAGGGGGAAACAGGCAGAAAATTCGGATGATTTTGAATTCGAAATTCGAATTCTCTTTGCTCTTTTTCAAGGCAATAGTGAAGGGGATGGGAAATTCTGAAAAAAGGGGAAAAAGGGGACGGGAACGGGGATGATTGGACATGATGTTGATTGGTGCCCTTCTTTTCCGTGATTTATTGGGATTTTCCAAATTTTCTGGGATTTTTGTGAAGAAGGAGACGCACAAGGTGGGATTGTTGTTGTTGTACGCTGTGTATTGTATTGTTGGGTATTGGGTATGTTGAATGTATTGTTGTTGTAAAGAGGAATGGGCTGGGTTATGGAATAAAGAGAAGTGGGTTGCTGGGGCTTGGAATTTTAATTAGGAATAATGGGCTGCTGGTTGCTGGCCCAAGAATGGTCTTTTAAATAGTCCAATAAGGAGTGAAAGCATTGGTCATATTTGAAATAACCAAATGGCTTGCAATCTTGGCCAATTAAATTAAGAATTTGGTCAAAAAATTGAATTTAATCGGAGAACTTTGGCCAAATCTTAAACAAGATGAATTAATTAAAGAGCTTCTTATTCTTAACAAAATAAAATAATTAACTTAATTATAAACTAACCAATTTAAATAACTCAAATTGTAAATATAAATAATACTAAACTAAATTAATAAAATATTTATCTTAACAATGTAGAAATCTTTTGATATGATTTTCAAATAATCATAAAATATACTAATTATAGACATAATTATGTAAAACATAAATGTTATCTAAAAATAATAAAAAATGACAAAACTATTTAAAATAACTTGCAAACTATATTATTATTTTTTTGAAATTTTATAAAACTAATTATTCTAAGTCGTTTGAAATTGAAGAAGCTCGAAATGATTAATTTATATTGTGGAGGTCCAAAATTGGGTGTCAACAATGGAAACATGGGCGGTCATCTTGAGGTTTTGGATATCCACTGAAACAAACTTTATGGGACTCTTCCAGAAACATTTAGCATTGGAAGTGTACTCAGAAGCTTAGACTTGCATGACATTAATGAATTAGAAGGAAAAATCCCCCAATCATTAGCCAATTGCAAAGAGTTGGAATTTCTTGATTTAGGAGACAATAATTTTACTGAGAAAATTCCTTCATCTTTCTGCAATTTGATTAAATTGAAAGTGATGCATTTGGGGAGAAACAATTTGAAGGGAGCGATTCCACAATGTATTGGAAACATGGGTGGTCATCTTGAGGTTTTGCATATCCACCAAAACAATCTTTATGGGACTCTTCCAGAAACTTTTAGGATTGGAAGTGTACTCGTAAGCTTAGACTTGCATGACAATGAATTAGAGGGGAAAATCCCTCCATCTTTTGCCAATTGAAAAGAATTGGAACTTCTTAATTTAGGAGACAATCACCTTAATGACACATTTCCAATGTGGTTTGAAAGTTTGCCAAAGCTGAAAGTTTTAAGCTTGAGATCGAATAAATTGCATGGGCCAATTAAAACTTTAAGTGATGCAAACATGTTTTCTGAGCTTCGAATCATAGATCTCTCTTATAATGCCTTCACAGGAAACTTGTCGACTAGTCTATTTCAAAAACTAAAAGTCATGACGACAATTGATAAAACAACGAAGGTACCGACATATCTTGGTAAATTTGGAGATGGATACTACCATGAGTCTGTAAAAATTGCAACCAAGGGATTGGAGCTTGAACTGGATAGAATTTTGACAATTTATGTTGCTATTGATCTTTCAAGCAACAAATTTGAAGGACATATTCCAAGTAGTCTAGGAGATCTCATTGCGCTTCGGGTGCTAAATGTCTCATAATAGATTGCACAGTAATATACCATCATCATTTGGAAGTTTATCTTTAGTCGAATCATTGGATCTTTCATTTAACCAGCTTTCGGGAGAAATACCCCAACAACTTGCTGGTATGACGTTTCTTGCAGTCTTAAATCTCTCTCACAATCATCTCCAAGGATGCATTCCTCAAGGACGTCAATTTGCTACATTTGAAAATAATTCATATGAAGGTAATGATATTGGATTACAAGGATTCCCTGTTTCGAAAGGTTGTGGAAGTATTTGGCCACCAGAGACAAATAATGCCGATTATGAGCCATATGGTGAAGAAAGGAATTCTGAATTTCTGAATGATTTTTGGAAAGCTACTTTTATGGGATATGGAAGTGGTCTATGTATTGGATTATCCATAATATATTTCATGATCTCAACTGGAAATCTGAAATGGCTTGTAAGAATCGTTGAAGATCTTGAACACAAAATTATTATGCGACAGAGAAAGAAACAACGAAGTCAAAGGCAAAACAAAAGAAAAAATAATCGCATCTAGCTAGAAGAGTTAAAAATGTAACATTATGAACTTTGATGATATACATGTAACAACTATTTGATTTCATCAATTATAAACTTTGTATGTGAATACTCTACATAGGCCTTTCTACATGTAACAACTATTTGATTTCATCAATTATAAACTTTGTATGTGAATACTCTACATAGGCCTTTATACATGTAACAACTATTTGATTTCATCAATTATAAAGTTTGTATGTGAATACTCTACATAGGCCTTTATACATGTAACAACTATTTGATTTCATCAATTATAAACTTTGTATGTGAACACTATACATAGGGCATAGCAGATTTTTCTTTCCAATAATTATCATAAGTGTTTGACTCACTACTACAAAGAACCTCTTTTATATTTGGAGAGAAGGCGGTATATACCACCTGACAGAGTGTCTAGCATCCTTTTATTAAATTAAAAAAAAAAAAATCCTCAACAGGCATAAAGAATCTAGGAGAACGCTCAAGGACAATCTAATTTAGAGCATCTTAGATATAATTTTGTTTAGAGCCATCACAATGGAGTTATGAGATTCTTTACTCATGTGTATATATGTTGTATAAAAATGTATATATGAAGTGTATGACAAGTGTATAAAATGAAACTTAAAAGAGACAACACATATAAGAAATCAAAAGAAAGAACAAACAAATTGTGGTACATAGTAATGGTTTAATTGAAAAGGTTTTGTTTTGAGATTTTCATGTTATTTATGTTGTGTTTGTATTTCTTTTTGGAAGGATGAATATAAAATAAGTTTTTGAGAGGAAGAAGAGAAGATATGAAGGAGCAAAGTAATAGTATTTGTTAGTTGAATTAATAATCATTAAAAGTTAATACTCCCTCTTATCCATTATTAATTAGACACACATCTTATTAATTGTAATCCTTGGTAAAAGAACAAACCGACAGAGGCCGTACAATATGAGGTGCCTCGATGTATGCATGTATAATACTATACCGTGACCTCGCCTTGGTAGATATTCCCTTCACTTTTATTCTTTTTCCTCTTTGAACCAATCCTATTCTGGCATTGGTCCATTATTGTGGTATTTCGTTCATCGATATTAATTCACTTGTATTTAACCTCTTTTTTTTTTATATATATATTTTATTGTTAATCAAAATGATAATTTTCTCTTTATGTTGGATCTTGGGGAATTTGAACAACTTGTATCTTTTGTCTCTTTATGCTAACAACCTTTATGGTTCGATTCCAATTGAGTTGGGGAATATAGGAAGACTTGTTACTATGTATTTAAATATTAATCAACTCATTGGTTCAATTCCGGATTCCTTTGGCAACTTGAGAAACTTGCAATGGATGTATCTCCACAACAACAATCTCACTGAGAAAATTCCTTCATCCTTCTGCAATTTCATGAAATTGAAAGTGGTGTATTTGGGGAGAAACAACTTCAGGGGAGAAATTCCGCAATGTCTAGTTAATATCAGTGGACTCAAGGTATTGAAAATAGAAGATAATAATCTCGGTGAAAATATCCCTTCGTCTATTTGCAATCTAACATCACTAAGGATTTTAGATTTGGGTAGAAATTTGAAGGGAGCGATTCCACAATGTTTTGGCAACATGGGTGGTCATCTTGAGGTTTTGGATATCTACCAAAACAATCTTTATGGGACTCTTCCAGAAATTTTTAGCTATGAAAGTGTACTCAGAAGTTTTAAGCTTGAGATCAAACAAATTACATGGGCAAATTAGAGCTTTAAGTAATGAAAACATGTTTTCTAATCGAGATACATGTATTCGAAGGTTAAAAATCGAGATACATTTATCCAACGGGTAAAAAAAGATCGAGATACATGTTTTATTAATTTTGAAATAGATGTGTATTAGTTTTTTCCTTAATTAAAGGAGTAATTGAGTATTAATTAATAACTCTAACAGATTTTGGCCTTTGAATACATGTATCTGAGGGTTAAAAAATTGAGATACGTGTATCTGACGAGTAAAAAAGATCAAAATACATGTTTTATTAATTTTGAAATAGATGTGTATTACTGTTTTCCTTAATTAAAGGAGTAATTGAGTATTAATTAAGAACTCTAACAGATTTTGGCCTTTGAATAGATGTATCCAAGGGTTAAAAAATTAAGATACGTATATCTGACGGGTAGAAAAGATCAAGATACGTGTTTTATTAATTTTCTGGGTTTGTATCCTTGAGAAGATGTGTTAGAAACAACATCTTGCACTAGATGTGTAACTGGGTTTAGTGATGTTTCTGTTTTGGTAAGTAGCTAGAGCTTCGCGTAGTTCTTTCATTTATATTGGGTCGTTCCCGTGGTTAGATCTATTCTCAGCTTGAATGTTAGCAGATAGAGATTCAATCCTGCAATGAAAAAATCTTGAGAGAAAACAAAACTATAAAGTTCATATCTCATAAACATATTGTATATTAATGTTAATGTGTTGTACATTTACTAAGAATCATTCAATTTTGGGAATGGTCACCCATGACAGAATAAATAGCAACAAGATCATACTATGTAGAACCTAATTCCGAAAACTTTTTAAAATTGAAATTTAAAACGATATGAACTCTATCATAGATATATGAAAAGGGAGAACTTTATTCAAGATACATGAGAATAATGAAACAAAGTTACAAATATCTACATATAATTTTGAATGCCAATATTCAATTTTGATAATTTGCTATTAAAACGTAATTTGAGAGAGAGAAAGAAGAAAAAGATGGTGGAAGTAGTGGAGGACGTGAGGGTGGGGATGATAGACATTGATGAATAATGAGAATTTTATTTGGAAGAGAGAAATTTTTTATGTTAATTCACCATTAATTTAGGTGTTTAAATATAGAGATAATTAATCAATCCCATTTTAAGGGATTTGTATATCTGATTGTATCTTTTAAAATATATGGTATAAAATATTAAAAGTGGTAATATAAGTAATTGTTTGAAACTAGAGGTAAAATTAGTATATATGATAGTGATGTATGTCTAATTAAGTAGTTTTTCCAATAAAAAAACCCAAAAATAACCCAACCGAACCGATTAATTAGATATATAAATTTTATAATTATTTATATATTACTCATAAATAAAATATAAATATTTTGTAAAATTTTATTTAACTTAAGTATTTAACTTTACCATTTTCTCAAACCCAACACTTTAGCCCAACTATAACAATCCTAAGTCCAAGTCCATCAAAATTCATTTTAGTCTTTAACTACCCTACTTCACATAAAATAGTCATACTTTCTCTTAATTGAATCACTTTGTTCGTGTAATGATAAATTTTAGTATTGCTTAAGTGAACCGACAATAACTTTTCTGTGGATTGTTCATGTACTAGGTGTTTGTGTCTATCAAGATACGTACATTCTCAAAAAAGTTATTACTTTCAAATCGAATAAATCAGAAAAACTGAACCAAACCGATGGTTATTTTTTTCGTTTAGCTTGGTTTGGTTTTAGAAATTATAAAAACCAACTAGATTGGTTTGGTTTTGGTTATAATCAATAACCGATCCAAACCGAACCACGAACACCCCTAATTACCCACAAACCGCCCCACCCCGCATTAGTTTTGAAAAAAAACCACTTCAACCCGCCCCGCTCCGCATAGCCTCAAACCCACTCTGCCCCGCATCCATCGTCATCCCTAACAACCTACTATTATATTTAATGAGATTATTTTCAAAACAAAAACTTATCCAGGAAAAGTTAAAAAAAATTGTCACTTTTTGAAAAATATATAAATAGTATATGTGAATTGTGTTATATATATTACTTAAAAGTAGACACCACTTGCAAGATATCTTGTGTATGCCACTGATACTAATAATAAACAAATCTAATACATGTATTATTTTTTCTAATACATTCTATCAAACGACAAGGAAATTTTGTGTTTTGCTTGTTTTCTTTTATTTTTTTAAAATAAAGGTCATTTTTTGGACAAGAAAAACAATTATGTTGTTAGACAATTAATAGAGCCAAACTTGACGTTTCCCGTAAGACTTGGGTCATTGACTTGAGGATGACAACATTTACCAAACTTTGGATTGATTGATTATTTGATATGAATAAATTGTACGATCAGTAATTTATTTCATAGAAGAAAGTTTGAATTAGAAGCATGTATATGAAGAATGATTATTATTTTCCCTACCTAATAATTTCTCTTTGAAATTTCTACAAGACTAGTAAAATTTAAAGAAATGTGTTTAGTATTTAAAAAGTGAGAAAAAAAGAAAATTTATAGGCTGTGTTTCCATTCAATTATGGAGTAGTAGTCTTTGGTGTAGTAAAATAGAAGTTGATCAATCATATACAGTGTATTCTTTAAAATCAAATGTAAATTTAAAAAAAAAAAAAAAAAAAAGTAAAACCTTATCCGCAATTGATGTTTATATCAAATATTCAATTTAAAGACTCTGTGTTGTAGCTTTTTTTGTGGAATAACTTGAGAAACAACAAAATTTCCATTATTCATACATAAATAGTCTTTTTCTCGACTTAAATTAGGTGTGTGTTTTTTTTCTTTTAAGGACAAGAAAATGAAACTTCAATTAAGTTGAAAGCACTCAAATAGCATTGCCACAACTAGTACTTTTATTAACTAAAATAAATTATTTGCACAGTTCTTTTTTAAAAAAAGACTTGGATTATTTCTAAATTATTGAATATTATATTGGAATACTGGTCATAAAATTAATATTATATTTTGTGACAAATTCATTAAAATATTATTCTACTTGTAATATTAATGAACTTAAAGAAAAAGTTACAAATACCTAGATTAAAAAATAAATTATATAATAATACAAAGAGGTATTAGATATATGTGATATAACAAGGATAAAATGGACAATGCATAAGATAAATGGAGGAATTTGATTATTATTCAAAGTTGTGGGAGGGGAGTTTGATTTTAAAATCATATCTATTAGAAAAGATCAATATTTCAAAATTATTATTATTTTACAGAAGAGTCGTGATACTCTATTGTATTTATGACGCTGGACTAATTTGAGAATTATATTTCCCTATTCATTTATCTGACTAAACGAACTATTCACCAATAGGATAATTTTATTTTAAAATAATAATAATTATTATTATTATAAGACTGACTTGCCATTGACTAGCAATACCTTAAAAAAAATCTCTACAATATAAATAAATGTGTACACTACACAAGTTCATCAAAAGAAAAAAAATCCAAGAAAATAGCACATTATCAACATATTTGATCATGGTTCCCAAAATAGTTCAATTTCTCATTCTCTTATATCTCTTTACGGTTACTTTTGCTTTCAATGAGGAAGAAATTGCCCTCCTAAAATGGAAAGCAACTTTCAAGAACCAGACTAATTCCTTATTGGCTTCATGGACTCAAAGTTCGAATGCATGCATGGATTGGTATGGAGTTATGTGCTTAAATGGTAGGGTAAGCAAGTTGGATATTCAAGGTGCTCATGTCATCGGTACACTCTATGATTTTCCATTTTCGACTCTCCCTTTTCTTGAATATGTTGATCTTAGTGTGAATAATCTCTCTGGAACTATCCCACCTGAAATTAGTAATCTCACTAATCTTGTCTATCTTGACTTGCACACCAATATGATTTCAGGCACAATCCCATTCCAAATCGGCTCACTAGCAAATCTCCAGAATATTAACATCTATGACAACCTTTTAAATGGTTTCATTCCTGCCTCATTGAGTAATTTGACCAACTTGTCTATTTTGTCTCTTTATCAGAATAATCTTTATGGCTCGATTCCTACAGAAATAGGTTATTTAAGGTCTCTTACTTCTCTAGATTTGGGTACTAATTCTCTTAATGGTTCTATTCCTATTTCATTGGGAAATTTGACCAACTTATCTAGTTTGTTTCTTAATGGGAATCATATTTCAGGCTTTATTCCTGCTTTATTGGGAAATTTGACCAGCCTTTCTATTCTGTATCTTCAGGAGAATAACCTTTCTGGCTCCACTCCTGAAGAAATAGGTTATTTAAGGTCTCTTAGTCAACTAGTTTTGGCTAAGAATTCTCTAAGTGGTGTTATTCCTGCTTCATTGGGAAATTTGGCTAAGAATTCTCTTAGTTATTTAGATTTCTCTACTAATTTTCTTAGTGGTTCTATTCCTACTTCTTTGGGGAATTTGAATGTGTTGTATCTTTTGTCTCTTTGCTAACAACCTTTCTGGTTCGATTCCAAATGAGTTGGGAAATATAGGAAGACTTGTTACTATGTTTTTAAGCGTTAATAAACTCACTGGTTCAATTCCAGCTTCTTTTGGCAACTTGAGAAACTTGCAATGGATGTATCTCCACACAGCAACAATCTCACTGAGAAAATTCCTTTATCTTTTTGCAATTTGATAAAATTGGAAGTGGTGTATTTGGGGAAACAACTTGAGGGGAGAAATTCCGCAGTGTCTAGTTAATATTAGTGGACTCAAGGTACTGAAAATAGCATATAATAATCTCAATGAAGAGATCCCTTCGTCTATTTGCAATCTAACATCACTAAGGATTTTAGATTTGGGTGGAAACAATTTAAAGGGAGAAATTCCACAATGTTTTGGAAACATGGGTGGTCATCTTGAGGTTTTGGATATCCACCTAAACAAACTTTGTGGGACTCTTCCAGAAACATTTAGTATTGGAAGTGTACTTAGAAGCTTAGACTTACATGACAATGAATTAGAAGGAAAAATCCCCCGATCATTAGGCAATTGCAAAGAGTTGGAACTTCTTGATTTAGGATACAATCACCTTAACGACACATTTCCAATGTGGCTTGAAACTTTGCCAAAGTTGAAAGTTTTAAGCTTGAGATCGAATAAATTGCTTGGGGCAATTAGAACTTTAAGTGATGAAAATATGTTTTCTGAGCTTCGAATCATAGATCTCTCTTACAATGCCTTCACAGAAAACTTGTCGACTAGTTTGTTTCAAAAATTGAAAGCCATGAAGAAAATTGATAAACCATCCAAGGTACCGACATATCTTGGAAAATTTGGAGAGAGAGAGATTACAATGATTCTGTAACAGTTTCAACCAAGGGATTGGAGCTTGAACTGGATAGAATTTTAACAATTTATGTCACTATTGATCTTTCAAGTAACAGCTTTGAAGGGTATATTCCAAGTAATCTCGGAGATCTCATTGCGCTTCGGGGGCTAAATTTGTCTCATAATAGATTGCAAGGTAATATACCAACATCACTTGGAAATTTATCTTTTGTTGAATCATTGGATCTTTCATTCAACCAGCTTTCAAGAGAGATACCACAACAACTTGATGCTCTTACATTTCTTTCATTCATAAATCTCTCTCACAATCATCTCCAAGGATGCATTCCTCAAGGACATCAATTTGCTACATTTGAAAAAAATTCATATGAAGGTAATGATGGATTACAAGGATTCCCTATTTCGAAAGGTTTTGGAAGTATTTGGCCGCCAGAGACAAATAATGCTGATTATGGTGAAGAAAGCAATTCTGAATTTATGAATGATTTTTGGAAAGCTACTCTTATGGGATATGGAAGTGGTCTATGTATTGGATTATCCATAATACATTTCATGATGTCAACTGGAAATCTGAAATGGCTTGCAAGAATCATTGAAGGATTGGAGTACAAAATTATTATGCGACAGAGAAAAAGGCACTAAAAAATTCAGGTATACAAGTGAGTTCTAGTTTGATCTATATATCTAAATTTTCATGTTAAGCATATTTCTTTTTCCAAAATCAATTGGTAGAAGCAAAAAAAAAAAGGAATTAGGTTTTTCAAAATAATAGTAGTAAGACTTAACTTCTCTTGGTGTAAAAATAAAAATCAGATAATAAACAAATAAATAAATTCCAACATGCATGCAGGTGCTTGGAGGAGCATTTGGTGGAATGCTCAACAGAGATGCAATAAGTAAGCATACTTATTAGCTAATTTTTACTTTTTGATTTCTTTTTAAGTTGTATAAGTAAGCCTTTTCTTCTTCCTTTTTCAATTAACTTGGAAAAATGTAATGTTATGTACTTTGATGGTATATCAAGTTTATGTAAGATATTAATGTATTCAATAGATGTTGTGTACTATTGGATGATATATATGCATTTCTTGGATTCAAGTATGAGAATACTTCCTCTGTCCCTATCTATATTTGTCCATTTTTTTTCTAATTTAATGTCTCTTTTTACTTGTCATTTTTGATAAATCAAGAAAAGATAATTTATTTTTTTATATTAATTTCTTTGAAAAATGTAGTGAGTAAATATGTTTAAGATTTTATTAAATTCACTATTGCATTATTGTTTTCTTAATAGGCGTGTCAAGTCAAAATTTGACAAGTAAAACGGGACAGAAAGAATGTATATGTAGCCTTTGACAGGTACAAAGTACCAAAAAAAATAAATTAAAACAGCCTCTGAAGCTTCAAATTATTCAACAAGAAACCTCACTACCACCATCACATAAAAAAATTAACACTAACATGCATTAAAGTTGTGAGACTTCAATATTACGCTACTTAAAAAATCACTATATTTTTTCCTACAAAATTTTCTATCTAAAAATATTCAATGGCTATTCCATAGATAATTAGAGATTGAATGGTATGAAAAGAAAAAAATAGTAATTGTTTCATATGGAAAAATCAGAAAGTTTCCTTGTTATATGCGTTGGGAAATACTCCCTCTGTCTTAATTTATGTGACACATTTCATTTTTCGAGAGTCAAACAGCTTAAGTTCGACTAGAAATTTGTGCGTGGAATCTTCAAAAAAAAATTAAATAAATTTATATATTTGTGAACTATGTAAAAAGTACTATAAGTCACAATAATTGGCAATTCAAAATAATTAAAAGATATATGCAAAATTTACGGTCAAAGATAAACTAGTTTAAATCTCAAAATCCGAAAAGTGCCACATAAATTGGGACAGATGAAGTAATGGAAATTGGTGTATTGGGTTGGTATTCATATATATAAGAATTGTGTATGGTAATTTAATGATGTGAACTTGTTAAACAACTTGGATTAAAATTAGAATCTTGTTGATTTGTGTGACTTGATTATGTTGTGGCAATAGACTGAATGAGATGAACACTTAATGATATGCTTTGATTAATTGTTGTTGGATATTGGTGTTGAATTATCATCCTCATATTTGATCAATGCATTATTATGTTTGCATTTATGTTGTACCACTGTTGTGATGGTATTGGTGAGGATGAGAGGAAATAGGAATTTGGCCCCACGTCCATGGTTGAAACATTGAGTGGAAATAGGGAATGGGCCATATATTTTTGGCAGATTCATTGAGATAAAATTGGCATCGGGCCACACGTCTATGGTAGATGCATGGACTAGGAAGTCCCCTATGGGTTTCGAATTGAGATTCAACGAAACTGTATCGTAGGACAGACACTTTACTTGACATATCATTGCATTGCACATCATTACCATTTGTGAAGTTGTGATCGTTTTTATGAGAATTTCGATTGATGTACTTGATACTTGACTGTGACTGATCTGTACTTGTTGAGATGTTACTATTGAACTATGTGTTCCGTGATTTATAGATTGTTAGGTTGGGTTGATTTATGTGTAGGTTGTAGTTTGTGGAAGTTCGGTTGGAATGAAAGGAGTGCTTGTATTCTGCTTTGGTTGACATAGCGTTTAGTAGTTTGTCTGTTGAGTCCCGTGTGGTTTGGTACTCACTCCTTACTTCTACACTTGTGTAGGTCACAAGCCCAGATCTATGTGATTATCCTTCTTCTCTACTTCGTCCGAGGCTTTTCTGTGGATACTTGAGAGGTAGTTGCTTGTCATCTCAACGAGCCGTCTTGTTCCTTTATTATGTTCTTGTTCTACTCTAGAAACAAAGACATTTGAGACTTGTAATTTTCTTCAATTCAGTTGTAATAGTGGCTTGTACATGTGACAACAAGATTTTAGGGGTTTTGAGCTGACTAAGTTACCCGCATTTATGCCATTGATATTTTAATTTCCGCTTTTCTATTGTTATGTTTTGGATTTTCGGCTTACTTGTCATGGGTGGGATAAGACGAGTGCCTCGTTACAAAAAAACATGCATCCATAAGCTTTGTGTATTATTAGTACCTTGTTAATTCAGTACACTTTTAGCCTATGTATATGTAATATTTGTATCAGTTATATGCTTTATTGTGTATTGAGGTGTGTATTACTAATACCATAGATTTTTATGTACTAGTAATACAAAAGGTTTCAAGACATGTATTAGATTGATTGAAGGCATAATAACCCTTCAAATCCTTCTCAGCACATTTTCTATTTTCCAAATCTATAGAGTGTGGAGGGTATTATCCTAAACAAATATTTTTTATAGAAGTTATGCAATATGTTTTATTAATGCAAGTATTACTAATACAAGCATTATGAATACATGTATTACTAATACATTCTACCAAATGATCCCGGAATGTAGAACCAATGCTTACCTAACAAGATACTAATAATACAAAAGGTTAATACATGCATTATTTTTTCTAATAAACTCTACAAATGACAAGAAAAATTTGTGTTTTGCTTGTTTTCTTTTATTTCTTCGACAAGAAAAACAATAATGATGTTAGACAAATAGAGCCAAACTTGATGTTTCCCATAAGACTTGGGCATTGACTTGAGGATGACAACATTTTCCAAATTTTGAATTGATTGATTATTTGATATGAATAAATTGTACGATCGGTAATTTATTTCATAGAAGAAAGTTAGAATTTGTGTCCCTCAAATTGAAGAAGCATTATGTATATGGAGATAATTATTTTCCCTACCTAATTATTGAACCAATTTTTGACTAAGTCTACCCTATCATTATCTATAGTCAACCCATTTGAATCTTTAAGCATACTTTGTATTGAGAGTTATTTCAATGTTTAAAGTGTCTTGATGATCTAGCTAGTAGGAGTAAACCTATTTGATTTGTATAGCGAGGTGGGTGCTATATTAATTTGTCTGTCTAGCTAATAGTTATTTGAGGAGGAACAAAGGTTAAAGTGTGGAGTAGTAATACTGCGCGATTTATATTATTTTAGTCATATTTTTTCCTTGTTTCAATTTTATTTTTCCCATGTCTGTGCCTCGCGTCATGAGGTGGCACAGACATTGGAAAACTTTTGCCCTTTCCTAGTCCAACTTGGTGGATTCTTTTATTAAATATTTTAAAGTATTAATTATAAATATTCATTCTTAGCCATTTTTAGAAAGAGAGGAACATTGTGGAGGCAAAGAACAAAAGCAAAAGCTAAATTCTCTAGGATTTATCTTTATTTTGTTGGCTGCATTTAGCTCTAGTACTTTGTGGGTGTTCAATAATTTTCAGTTTTTTTTTCTCAACAAATGGATTTAAGGAAACTTGTTGTCTTTAATTTGTTTGTTTTCATATCCCTCATGGAGATATTTTTAAAGAAAACTGTAGCTTTTTTATTGGTTCACATAGCTCTATGATTGTTTGGTACAAATCTATTCAGATAAAATTATAGGTAATGTGTTTACGAAAAGTGTATATTAATTATATATGAAAAATATGCTGATAAAAATGAATATGAAGTGTATATCATAAAAAGTGTACTTGTAAAAATGTATACAACGTGTGTATACTATATAATACAACTATTGTAAACAAAAATTCGTTGGCTCATAAGTGCACACACAAGTGTACATGGGTCGATTATGTAATATAACAATTGTAAACATTTGGTATGACTGGAAAATATTTAAGAGAAACTATGACTACACAGTTAACAAATGTTTTTTCTAGAAGAATTGGTTTGTTTGTTACTTGTAAATTGTAATTGCAAAGTTTAAATAATTAATTATCACTAAGTAAACGATTCACAAGTTTTGATTAAGTCAGTAAGACACAAATTTCGTTGCTATGTCACTTTTATGCAATTGTGTTGCGTCTATGCTTTCATTGTCATACAAACAATTATCGAGTTGTTCAGGAGCTGATCTAGTAAGGTTCAAGAGGTGTTACGTGACATGATTTTATTGAAATTTATATATATATATATATATATATATATATATATATATATATATATATATATATAATTAAAAGACAGGTGCACAACTCAGTTGGTAAAGTGTATCAATTGTCAGCGTGAGGGACGTGAGTTTGAGGAGAAAATGATCAAAATGGTCCTTGATGTATAGGAGTTGAAGTATTTTAGTCCTTTATATATATCATCTCATCCAAATAGTCTTTAATGTATATGAAAAGATGATCATTTTAGTTCTTAACCCTAAACTAACCAAAAAAATAAAAAAAACTGTTAAATTTATCAGTGGGTCTCACAACATGCCAAACTTTTTTTAAAAAAAAATATTAGTAAAACCCCTTCTTCCTCAATTTGTTTTCTTTCACCATCACCATGGCACCCAACTTCCTCAACTTCTTTCTTTCACAAAGTCATACTCCGTATCCTTGTAAGAAAAATCATACACACTACATTCATTTCTTATCTTTCATTGGAACCAGTGCCGGCTCAATGTTTATAAAAATAAGGCACATGCCTTAGGCCCCCAATTTCAGGGGGCCTCAATTTTTTATTAAAAATAAATTATGTATTATTTTATTTTTTATAAAAAAATAAATTATTTATGATAAATGTATCTCTTTTATAA